CCCCCCGGGCCTCTCTGATGCCACCGAGAACGGCCCCTTGACCCCCGGCCGCTGCCACCTGCACCCGGCCGACCGCCCTCCGCATCCGGCGCGGCTCTGTGAATGGTGCGGCCGCTGCTCCTCAAGGTGGTGCTCGGGAGGCTCCAGCAGGGGGCTCTCTAAAATGCCGCGTCTACCTGGTACAGCCAGCGCGGATCGCCTCGGTATGCGATCCGGCTGGCTGGATCAGGCAGACGCGGCCCTGTAATCAAGCGCTGTAGAGGGCAGCCCGTTGGGTCCTTCTGAGGACCCCCTTGAGGACCGAGCAGCGGCCGATTGCAGAGCAGAGTGGATCGCCGTCCGGCCGGGTGCAGGTGACAAACAGGCGGCAGAGGGAGAGAGCCACTGCGGCCACAGCAGACACCCACCCAAAAAAGCACAGTCCATGGAGCCCCCCACTGACCACCAGGCCAAGGTAAGGTGACAAAAAATTTTTAAACAAAATCCGGGGACATTTTATCCCCGGGAGCCATAAAACAAACTTTTTTTAATATATGTTCACCTGATCCCTGCATCCACAAAAAGTGCGGCCTCCCGTCTCCCACGCTGTTAGACGCTGCATACGGCGCGTGCTGGTTACTACTTAAACTGGCGCGCGCTGTGTGCAGCTTCTGCGAAGATACGCTATTAGCATAGCGGGAGCGATGCAAAATGCGCAGCCGGCTTCCTCGCAGCTGGTTTAAGTAGTAACCAGCATGCTCTGTATGCAGCTTCTAACAGTGTGGGAGACGGGAGGCTGCGCTTGTTGGTGGATCCAGTGATCAGGTGAGTATTTAAAAAAAATACTCACCTGATTAATCAGCTGAAAGCTATGGTATTCTGCATTGTTGTGTAATGTATTTCTTGGAATTGTAGTTCTCTATAGCCAATGCCATTCTGCAATGCTGTACAATGTATTTCTGAGTTAGTGGCAGAACTACCAGAGTCGCAGCAGCCATGCACGCGCACAGCTCTGACTAGGCCTCCCTCCACTACCAGTGTGCTTTACATTTCCTAAACCGATAAATACATTCACACTACCGTTACAAGGATGGCAAAAGTGGCAGACGGGCGGGGATAATGCGGGGAAGAGGCAGAGCGGGAGGGGGGCCAAGTTGCCGCACCATGGGCCTCTAGGTTGTACTTGCCCCCTGGGCTAAAAGTTGCCAGTCAGCCCCTGACCACACTGTATATACTATTGACTGCATTGTAAACAAGGATAATGCACCTAAACAGTTCAACACCACATTCCTTAACTACCTCTCCAGTAGGGAGAGGGGATTTAATGCCTTGAATATCACATAAGTGTATTGCCTGTCAAAAAAAAATCACTACCTGGACTTACATAAGCAAATAGGTCAGAGCCTTCCATGGGATTATTAGTCTAGGTTCAGCAATGTTAAATGCCCAGAAAATGAGTTCAGCTGCCTACCCGAATATGCTGAATGACCAGGTTTATCCCTCAATGGATTCTTTCTTCCCTGATAACACAGGCATATTTCAAGATGATAATGCCAGGATTCATGGGGCTCAAATTGTAAAAGAGTGGTCCAGGGAGCATGAGACATAATTTTCACACCTGGATTTGCCACCACAGAGTCCAGACCTTAACCCCATTGAGAATCTTTGGCATGTGCTGGAGAAGACTTTACGCAGTTGTCCGACTCTCCTATCATCCCTACAAGATCTTGGTGAAATATTAATGCAACTGTGGATGGAAATAAAGGTGACATTGAATAAGCTTATGAAAACATTGCCACAGCAAATATGGTGAAAGGTCGTCCAACAAAATATCATTGTTGAGTGTGCAGCTTTTTTTGGACAGGCAGTACATTTGGCCATTCTGGATTAAATAATAAAATCTGAAGAATGTATGAAGGAGGTTGCCTCAGGATCTACATGTGGAGACTGGCGTACCCTAATGTTTCTTCCTTGTACAATGATGGTATACTGCATTCATTATATGGAAACAGTCATATCCTTGATTCCCCCAGAACCTGAACCGGACTATTTCTGTCTTTGTTGCTGTTGGAGAATTTGTTATGATAATGACGTTTGATAAAACCCAAACTTAGTGGGAAGAATAGGAAAGTCATAATGAACACAGTGCCATCCTATTGTCTCCAAAATAAGCAAGTCGGTGACAAAACAGTCAGATTCAAATTTTATGTCTGTGATGGAGATGGTGACAAGTTTAAAAAGCCACAGACCAGATGAAAACATTCTTGATGAAAAACAACCTGGCCAGCTTAAATTGTATTTCCACTTTTGCAGCAAAATTGGGATTTTATATTTGTTAGATGTTCCCATTCACATACCATAAGCTAAAGAATATTAAAAATGCTTATTGCGGTTTAAATTGCTTTTACTTCAGTTAGGGTTTCTTGGCTTCTTAATGGTTAAAATTTCTACTTGCTTATCCTACTTTGTAATGTTAGGAGGGGCTATGATGGGTGAGGGGTTTGTTAACCCTGTCAGTACGCTGCTTGAAAGGATGAAGGGCTAAAAGCCTGGCTCCTGCATTTTATGTTAATTGTGTTAATGAGAGAAACACAACCAACAAATTTCAGTCCTAAGTCTTTCTATAAGGACAGATCACTGTGAAGGTGCTGAGACAAACCTGAAAAAGGTTAGACACGGGGGGATCATGGCTGACCACCATGGCTGGCTACTTCAGAGTGTACTATGCTATGGAAGGTTTAGAATCATCATCCATCCTGTCAGTCTGCTACATATCCAGACCCACAAAACAGTGTTTTGTGACCAGCACACCCTGCCTGATCTGCCATGAGTAAAAGCCTGCAGCACGTCACCCATGGAAGGCTGAAAAGGTTTACAATGGCAGAGCATCAAGATGGATCCTGAAACCCTCCTTATCCTAACAATAATCCAAGGAAGGGCCTG